ATTTGATCACAAAATGTAATAATTAGATAAAAATTATTATTTAATTATTGAAGACTTTAAATAAATCAAGTACTAAAAACTATTTATATGAAGGAGATATTCATCTCTCTATCCCATTTCGTGCATATATTTCCAAAGCAATGTGGATCACTTTGTAATTGTCGCTGTTTAATGTATCAAAAAGTCCGAGTCATTAACAAAAATTCATTACTCCCAAGATTAATATAGGTCACATAGTCATCCATATAAATGTTATCAATTAAAATTATTCAAAAGTCTTAGCGATATTAATTCAATTTCTCTTAATCAAAGTAGGTGAAAACTCAATTTTTTGGAGACAAATGGACCTCGAGGATCTTACAAGTCTAAGCATCTTAATCATGTTAATTATGAGATAGCATTCAACACCTCGATCGTTTTGAAATTTGAAATGTTACACATGATTTACTCAAGGATCTATGTGATTTAGAAGTTGAATCTTCAATAATCTACGAAGAATGATATAATGTGAATTTTCTGGAGGACTACAATTTTAATTAGAAATTTAATAAAGGTGAATTAAGTCTTTTACAATATTAAGTTTTGGATATTATATTCACACAAAAAAAATTTAATTAATTATCCCATATTGCACTTAAGGTCTCAATCTTTGCTCGTTATAGCTCTTAGGACCATAACCTTTTTTAGATGCATCATTATCCTCAAATTTTCATTAGTTAGCACATATCAACCCTAATAATGGTTCGTCTAAAAAGTCTGTTGGGATGAAATAAAAAAAACTCATTTGCCTATCATATTTAAAAGAAAACATTTATTGCAAAAGTGCAACAAAAATTTGTTTTCCCTCGTTTACAAATTGTTTAATAGAATATTTTAACACTAATCATTTTCTTAATTTTTGTATAAAATCAACTAGCTTCGATTTTATGTTCATCATAAACGAACAATGTTTCGGAGAAATACTTCAATAGTGGCGATGCGACCACCCAATACCGAGGCACCACCTCGACGGGTGGCCCACACAATCGGGGGTGTGTGGTGGGCCATCCGCAGAGGTGACCCTCTCTTATAGGACGATCGCACCACGTGGACAATGCAATCATCCTACCGAAGTATTTCTTGGTGTTTGGGGTCATTATTATCATCCCTGTCCACTTTGAGAATTTTTGGGGTCCGGGACAGGGATCAAAAAAGTCGTCATTTACTACCATGTTTAATTAATTATTTTTTTGTTTTTTAAAATATGATTTAAATTAAAAACATTAAATATAATAAAACGAAAAGAATTGGTGGGTTAAGAGAATTCACGGGATAATGTCCTTATACCCGACCCTTTTCCTATTTAGGGCGGGGAATTTGGGATGGTGCAACGAGGGGTGAGATGGGACGGAAAATTTTGCCATCCCAAAATTCACAATATTTATCTACTAGTATCATATGAAAGATATATTGGCACCATATTTTAACTCATTGCACGGTATTTTAAATGCATTCAAGGTCTCAAACTTTTTTTTATTGTAGCATATATGTCGTTAATTTTTTTCCGTCGCATTATATTGTCAAACTTGCACTAATTGTATATCTCATTGTTGATTATGATTTCTATCAAAATATTTTATTTACATGCATTGAAATCAGAGAAAAATGTTGAGTTGCACTTTGTATTACTTATTATTTTGAATATGATGGACAAATAAGCATTTTTATGCTTTTCCAGTGTGCTTTTTGGATGAAAATAATGGTCACTAAACTTATATCTACATTTTCGATTGCTCACTAAATATTAAAATGTCATGTTATGGCCACTAAATTTATCAAAACGTTGACTTTATTTACTATCTTAACATCCGTTTCAATTATTTAATGAAATCAGTGACGTGACTAACTAAATATGCACGTGGCGCCCTGTCACCTCGTTAACAAATTGTTACGTCTTTAATTGCTCACCAAATTTTGAAAAATTTCTTCAGTTACTCACTGAACTTTGAAAAACGTCTTTGATTATTCATTAAGCTTTGAAAAACGTCTTTGATTACTCCCTGAACTTTGAGGTGGTCGAATTTTGATCACTAAACTTATAAAAATGATGGCGACTAATTGTTCGTTAAAAAATATGTAGCACAATCGTACAGGTCGCGTAAAAGTAATTAAGTGGACAAAAGAATCCAGATTGTTGATTCCATTAGAAATTATTACTCAATTACATAATAATTAAATTTAATTTTAACATTTTTGTAAAATTTTAAACTATATTCATCATTTGAAAAATTCAAATTTATTGTCTGTTTCGTTGCTAAAATTATATTAATATTTAGATTTTACAACCTAACACACAATAAATTTAATTAAATGAATTTCATTCACTTTTGGCCAAATTTATTGTGTAATTTGTTGTCCAATCTATTTAATTAAATTTGTTATGTTTTGTTGCAAAATTCAAATATTAGTTTAATTTTAACAATGAAACACACAATAAATTTAAAATTTTCAAATGATGAAAAATAGCTTAAAATTCTACAAATTATATTAAAATTGAATTTAAACTATCGTGTAATTGAGTAATCATTTCTCGTAAAATCGACAATCTAGACTAGTTTATCCACTTTATTACTTTTACTCGACTCGTGCAATTGCGCTATATATTTTTTAACGAACAATAAGTTGATATCATTTTTATAAGTTTGGTGGTCAAAATTCGACAGCCTCAAAATTCAATGAACAATCGAAGACGTTTTTTCAAAGTTTAATGAAAAATAAAATACATTTTTTCAAAAAAATAAAGTGAGCAATTGAAAATATTTTTCAAAGTTTGGTAAGCAATCGAAGACGTAACAATTTGTTACCAGCGTGATGGGGGCCCACGTGTATCTTCCGTTAGTCATGTTAGTAATTCTATTAAAGAATTGGAAAAAATGTTAAGACAGTTAGCAACGTCCAACATTGTGATAAGTCCAGTGGCAAAAACTCAATATCTTAAACTTCAATGAGTAATTGAAAACAAAGACATAAGTTTAATGACCATTGGGACAATATATCATTAGCATACTTATTCAAAACTTCAATGATCAATGTGGCATAACTTAATTACCATTGTCCCTTATACACGTTTGGTAATATATATATATATATATATATGTACAAGTCACTGGTCATATGGAATCGGCAGTCAATATTAGGAAAAGTCAAAAATAAAATATATATTTTTTATACAATACGATTATTATTTTAACTTATTAATGCATCGTATTGGGTTGAACAATATAAAATTTACACAAAACATTACACTAAAAACTACCTTATTAAAGAAAGTTTAAAAATTTGTAATTAAAAATAAATAAAGGTTTAAACCTTGGGGACTGTTTAACACTTGATAATTGACAAATTGACATTGTAATTTCAAAAATGAACAAACTGGGATTACCGACCAGTTCTTACTATAATAGGTTCATGTTTGGCTAAATTTAAAAAATAAAATAAAATAATAAAAAAAATCAGTCAGTCTTGTAATTAAATTTACTTAAAATAAATAAATAAGTTCTAAAATAAAAAATTTTCTATTGATAAATTAGGATTAATAAAATATTTATTTTAAAAGTAACTCAAATCTTACATTTACTATCAAAATAAATAACCTTTTGCTTCTAAGTAAAAAAAGTAATTTATTAGAATAATGTTATTTGCAGTCACTCACTCCAACAGTCTCCCTACGTGGCATGCACATGACAGGTGGTTATTTGATGCATTAATGAAATTATTTAATCTTAACCAAACATGGTATAGGTCGTCCTCCAAAAGTCCAAAACCAAGCGCTCGTCTCTTTTTAAAATATTTATATTGCATTTGAAGAATTTTACTCATACTAATACTCCAAAGATGATGTCAAACGTGGGTTCTATATTCTTGTGGAAATTAATTAAATTATGATTTTTCAAGTGAACTTATTCCAATAAACCAACGCAATTGTTGACAGAATGTTGAAGATTCGAGCCACCAACCCATCACGTATAGTATGGAGTTTCGAGTAAAATATTTTATTAAAATTATAAAAATTACTTGAATTATCATTTTTGGAGTGTTTGATGGAAATTGTAAAAGAGAGTTAAAAAATTACATGCTTTATTGGTCTCTTGAATATATATATTAAATTATATTGCGCCGCGCAAGTTAAAGAAGTTAGGTGTTATGTGATTATATATTTACTAGTTTAGTAACATTGACGGTGCTGGTACATTGTGAACTTTAAACAAGAAAAGTAAACTAAAATGATATTCACCATCCTATATCGAAAATTTACATGAAACTTGATTGAGATTATATATATTCAAATTTGAAAAAGTGTGTAATTGATACCATTTTGTAGCAATTTGCTTTTTTGTTAAGTACACGTCTAAATTGTAATATGCGATGAAGTGTAACATTCTTTTGCACTTTTATTGCATACAATTTTCACTTAATTTTAAACTTCTCCATATTTCAATTTTATGCTAAATAGTACCACTAACTGTGAGCACTAAAAATAAGTGTTTAAATTAAATGAAACAACCCGAATCATCTTGTTTCTCCGATTCTCTCCTACCTCCTAACGAGCACCTAACATTGCAATAACTACTTATCTATTGGTTATAAGTCTCAACATTAGCCGAGTTGTGATCTGTTGTCTTCACTCAAATTTTGACACTTATATCAGTTCAGAATAGAAAATAGCATAACATTATTTTAAATGTAATTTTACTTGTAGTGTACTGTTATATATCGTGTCTAGCTGTGAAGATAAAAAGAGAAAAATGGAGACTCAAGGACTTAATTTATCAAATGTTGAGAAGCGCTACTGTAATTTCCAAAAGTTTAAAGACTAATTTGAGGAAATTTTGTTTAATTAAGAAAATTAAAAAATAATTTGAAGCCATTGAGAAATAGAGGTCTAAGAAAAAGGCCATTAAGGCGAATACCACGCGGTAAGTGTGGCCCTAATGCTCTCCGCATCTATAAATGTACTTCCCAAACCATTTCTTCAACGCTCATCCCATCCAACATAATACACAACAACCACTACTACCATTACCGCCGTCGCCTCCGCCACCCTCCGGAGCCAACTCCATTTTCCCTTCTCGCCTGGGAGGTTTAAATCAGATTTATTGAAATCAATGGATGTTCGTCGGAGACAAACCAAGACACCTCAGTCGGTCAAAATTGCCACCGGCGAACCACCCATGAAACCCCACAACCACCCTCTCCCCAAAGCCTCTGATGTCCTTCCTCTCCCTCTTTATCTCATCAATGGACTCTTCTTTACCATGTTTTTCTCCGTCATGTACTTCCTCCTCACACGGTGGCGTGAAAAGATCCGTAACTCCACTCCTCTCCATGTTGTTACGTTATCCGAATTAGCCGCCTTGGTTTCTCTTTTGGCCTCTATCATTTACCTCATAGGATTTTTCGGCGTAGATTTTGTTCAGTCCGTCATTTACAGAGCAAACGAGGATGCATGGGATGTAGAAGAGGAAGAAAATGAGAAATTCATTATCGAGGAAGATAGTCGCATGGGGGCATCCCCGGCCACCACTCTCGGTTGTGCAGTTCCAGTTGTCCCTATTGTCCCAGCGCAACCCACCAAGGTGCCGGTGACTGAAAATCCGGCACCAATAATTACACCACAATCATCAGAGGAGGATGAACAGATTGTAAACTCTGTAGTGGAAGGGAAGACTCCATCATACTCGTTGGAATCAAAGCTTGGAGACTGCAAAAGGGCAGCTTCCATTCGTAGAGAGGCATTGCAGAGAATTACAGGGAAGTCACTAGAGGGTTTGCCTCTTGAGTGTTTCGACTACGAGTCGATTCTCGGGCAGTGCTGCGAGATGCCAGTGGGGTACGTTCAGATTCCGGTGGGGATAGCTGGGCCTTTATTGCTTAACGGTACGAAGTACATGGTGCCAATGGCCACGACGGAGGGGTGTTTGGTGGCCAGCACCAATAGGGGCTGCAAGGCCATCTATGCATCAGGCGGCGCCATCTGCACTTTGTTAAAAGATGGGATGACTAGAGCTCCGGCGGTGAGGTTCGGAACCGCCAAGAGGGCTGCGGAGTTGAAGTTTTACTTGGAGAATCCATTGAATCATGAGACTCTTTCTGTTATCTTCAACAAGTATGTATTTTCTTCCACTCCATCATCTTGTTTATTTGTTATTTATAGTAAATTCTTCGAATAATTATTATTAATTATGTGTTTAATCAGTATAGTCATCCTTCCATTATTAACAAATGCATGCTTTCTGCTTTTTTTAGAATAGCCAATCCATTGACATGATACTCGTGTTGGAAAATTTTTATGTTGTCAATACTCTGACGACATGTATTTGAATTATGTTAGGCTCATAACGTATTCTTGTCTTGTTAGTACCAAGAAATCTTCTTTTTCTTGTCATTTTCCCTATTAATTTATTTTCTTTGTTAGAGAATTTTGATGGTTGTTTAGGTTGTGACTGGTGAGAGAGTTCAGATATGAAAACAATGTTCAAAATTGCTTTCCATTATTACTTTCAGATTTTGACTTGTATTTGATGCTTACATGTATGTAACCATTATTTCGGCGGGGTAGGTGAGATAAACGCTTTGAAATAATGTTCAAAGGGACAGTTACGAGAATTTGCTTTCCCTTTAACTCGACACTTTTGACTTACTTTTTCAGCTTTTCACACCCGGCTGAATGTAAATACTTTTCATATATTCTCACTACAATTTCTTTCCAAGCCCGTTTGGTGGAGATTAAAATGAAAATTTCGGTAGATTTTAAAAAAAAGTTAACGAAATTTATGGTTAAAAAATTGTGGGTCTTACAAAATATGTGATTAATATTTATTATTGACTTTAACTTTGATAAAAATCTAGATTTTAATTTTTATCAAATAAGGATTTAATATTGTTGGAGTACGACGTATCACATATTTTCTACGCACTTATAATTCTTTTGTATGTACTACATAAGTAGCAGTTTGTTAAAATTAATGTTTATGTTAATTGTGGAACGTGCAGATCAAGCAGATTTGCCAGGCTACAAGGTATTCAATGTGCAATGGCAGGGAAGAATCTGTACATTAGATTTACGTGCAGCACTGGTGATGCAATGGGGATGAACATGGTTTCCAAGGGAGTGCAAAATGTTCTTGATTATCTTGAGAATGATTTTCCTGACATGGATGTTATTGGCATATCTGGTATACACCACATCTTCACCTTCACTCATTTTTTTCCTGCACTTTTTTAATTTTCTAATATGCTTTAGATGAACGAGTAGAGCACGTCTGATACGAACAATTGTTTTCTTGGTCTTACACTTAGTGAGCAGGATAAAAACTTCTCACTACTGATGTGACAAGAGATTATACATTTGATTATCTCCATTTCCAAGAAGCATACGTATGGTTCTCTTGTCACATCAACATTGAGGAGTTTTTATCTTATCCATTAGGGGCAGTATATCGATTTCATCTCAATCTAATAGAGAGATTTTTTCATCACAAGTTTTGATGTCTTAGGATGTTTCCTTTACCGTAAATTTCATTTTTACAGTATCGAGATGTTCATTGATCGATTAGTTAAATTTTCACAGGAAACTTTTGCTCAGACAAAAAGCCGGCAGCAGTGAACTGGATCGAAGGGCGTGGCAAGTCAGTCGTTTGTGAGGCAATTATCAAGGAAGAGATTGTAACAAAGGTTTTGAAGACCAATGTTGCTGCATTGGTAGAGCTCAACATGCTCAAAAACCTTACTGGTTCAGCCATTGCTGGAGCTCTTGGTGGATTTAATGCACATGCTAGCAACATTGTATCTGCAGTTTACATAGCAACCGGGCAGGATCCGGCACAAAATATCGAGAGCTCTCACTGTATCACTATGATGGAGGCAGTAAATGATGGAAAAGACCTTCATATTTCTGTTACCATGCCTTCGATTGAGGTACATGAATTTCATCATATTAACTAGACCATAAAGTTAGAAATCAGTTACAATATAGTCTGGATTTTGGGTCCCAATTAAATTTTGTGATATAATTCAGGTGGGCACAGTTGGAGGGGGAACTCAGCTTGCATCTCAATCGGCTTGCTTGAACTTACTAGGAGTAAAGGGTGCAAGCAAAGAGTTGGCAGGGGCAAACGCAAGGCTATTGGCAACAATTGTAGCTGGTTCTGTTCTTGCTGGGGAGCTATCCTTAATGTCTGCTATTGCAGCTGGACAACTTGTAAAAAGTCACATGAAATACAATAGATCTAGCAAGGATGTTACCAAAATTTCCTCATAAGGGAAGGCCCACAAGTAGATCGATATAGTTCCTAAAGATCGAACATAAATTGTGTAAAACAATGCAAGTCGAATAAATTCTATATAGAGTATCGAAACTAAGGAATAAAAAAGAAGGCAAAGGCAGGGCAGAACGGAGGAGAAGTCAGGACAAGTAACAAGCCAAGAAAATAAAGACAATCACCATAAACAATGGTCACATTTGGTTGTCCTCTGTTTTATGCAACCCTTTACATTTGTTGTGTTATTAGTTTGTACCCTTTGTATCTATACTTAATGTATAATATCTTTACTCAGAATGAAATGCATCGATTTGTTCAAAGTAACATTGAATTTGTATTCCAAACTCAAATTATTGTCTGAAACCTGATTTTAGGGTATCAAAGTTTCCATAATTGACTACTTTGAATAGTTTCCATGATTATTGGTTCCAAATCCAAAAAAGTTTCTTCACTCTCACGGCTGTCTATCTACTAACTGCTAAGCCTCACGTTTCTTGAAGTGGACCTAAGGCAACATAGGAGAAATCATTCCAACCCTCATACCCTAAGTTGGGTAATATGCTTTCATCTATTCTTGCTTCAAACTGACCTAGCTGGCAGGGCTCAAACATGCTCACTTTAAGAAAAATCAAGCACAATTCTCACAAAGAGAATGTTGTGAAGATGACTAATAAAGACATTGGCAAGACATAACCTTCTGTTGCATACTATCAAGGGCTGTTCATTAACAAAACACGAGATGTTTAGTGCTATTCATTCCAATTTGATTTTGGAGATATGGTAATTAATTCATTCCAAATAAGTTATATTATATTCATATAATGGCACATTTATGACATTTTATATTCACTATGTACAACCTAACTTGGTTGCAATTATTTATGGCATTGTTGCTTAGCATCCGTATTTTATAATGGCCCAAATTTTAATGGTACATAAAGCATTAAAGTTCGGTCTCTCACCAAATTGTTGATACATTAAACATCTGAATCATACTTGATATACAATATTTTTGACAACATGTCACATGAAACATTGTCATTAAATAATTTAAAAAATAACATATTTTCCCATCCAACACTTTTTTAGCACCTACCAACATTGTCAACAATATTGTAAGAAAACATTGTACAAATAGTATTTTCCTTAAATATCTAATAATAAAACCACTTGTACAATATATCTGTACAACTTGATTGACAACGTGTGTTGAAAAAAATTCTGGCCATTGATTTTAAAAACAATTTTTCAAATAGATGAATGTGATGTTTGCCAAATTATACATTGTACAAGTAGCATGATTAAATATCTAGGACTATGACTTTCATGTATGTTTTTCAACTCATAAATATGTTAGGCAGCCAAAATCTACCAAAATCTACAGTAAGAAAACTAAGTCAATCATCTGTTAAGGGGTTGACCTTAGATACAAGGTCGATCGGACCACGTTCAGTTTTTTCACAAACAGTAATAAGCTAAGATGAAGGTGTCGAAATGTGTTAGACCATCCATGTCTCCTGAGAGCTCAGCAAAAGCGAGCCACACCACGTCCCATGCATTACACAGCCAAAAACTTGCACGAGCAGCCAGATTATGCACCTAAGAATGTGCAAGGAGTTCACACAAGGGACCAAAGGTTAGGTAACAAAATAGCAGCAAACAGGTAGACAAAGGATAGACATTGCATTACTAAGGCAAGAAGCTGAAATGCCAACAGAAGCTAGATGCAGCATTGCATGCAGGAAAACAGAGGGGACAAAGGCCGCACGCAGCCCAAGTCCAATCCAAATGAAATATTCTTCTCGCACATTGTTCAAATTTCAGAAACAAATCTCTCAGAAACTGCCATACCAATATACCAGGATGTAGAGGGCCGTATCAGCATTAAAACAATAATGAAACAAAATTGATAAAGAATGTCATGGTGCCATTCCAAAATTTACCGCAAACGGTATCAACATTTTTGAAAAAAGAAGGAAATGACATAAGCGTTACATCCTAATAAGATCAAACTCGAAAGAATATGTAAGAGTCAAGACGCAACAGCAATTCACAAATCAATCTTGGATGATAGACCCAAAGAATGTCATAAACAATTCCCTTTCATCATCAGTCATATCAATAAAGATGAAGATTGACCACTAAAAAAAAAAAAAACCACTTTCACTCACGTGTTTATAATTTATAAACTTTAAAGGAGCTGACAATAATTCAAAGTTATTCCACTTGAAGAGCTTCATTGTTCAATCACTCTTGCCCTCTTGAGCACCAATTTCTTGCAGGTAATGTTCTGCATCTAGGGCTGCCATGCATCCTGGAGAACAAGAGTAAAAAAACCCAAGTTAGGTCCAGTGAGAATGACAACAAATAAGCAATAAGTTGAGAATATTTCAATCCATTCAGTCTGGGCATGAGGTGATTCTATTTCTTGTTACGGAAGTTGCCCAGGGGATAAGTAAAATCAGCACAAGCAGTAAAGAAGGGTAAAAAAACCTAAGTTAGATCCAGTGAGAATGACACTATATAAGCACTAAGCTGAGAATATTTCAATCCATTCAGTCTGTGAGGAGGTGATCCTATTTCTTGTTACAGAAGTTGCCGAAATGGATGCATGAAATCAACACAAGCAAATAGGGGGTTTATTTACACACGTTTTGATATAAAGGAATATCGTTCACTATTTCACTAAAATGGAATGAAATGATCTTGTTTCACTCCCTAGTTGAAAAGAGATGACTAAAAATCCCTGAAGTATTCAAAATAAATAAATAAATAGTGGATGTGATTTTCCATGACAAAGCTCTTGGATCTTTCTAGTTTTAAGAAAATCTTTTATTTTAAGTTCCTTGGATTTACCGTCCACTTAACGGCCACAGAATTTCCTGCCCAATTTTGGCTTCTAAACTTCATTCAGACTGAGATGAACTCTATGTTATTTAAGTTAAATAAACATACAACTAAGAAATAGGAATATAACGGAGGATAGACTAATTAATAGTGGAATATAGATTGCAGGAGAACAAGCTAATGTTCTTTGGACTTCGAACACAATCAAAGAATGTTGTCCAATCAGTCGGTTAGGAAAGGGATGATGATATTATCATTGAAGAGTTATCCAGGGTGTTTGATAGATATTTTTATGTAAAAATGCATTTTAGAATAATAAATTGATGTGAAATGTGTGGTTTAATAAGGAAAAGTTTTTAATTTACGTGTAATATTATTTTAATAAAGAATGTGTGGTTGAAAAGAAGAAAGAAAAAAATGTATTTTGAAAAAAAATGGCTACCAAATGGGGCCATCGTGAAGTTGAGGCTAAGTCTGAGAATCACATATAAATCTTTTAATTAGAAATGATTTGAGCTTTCGTGCCTTGACTGTGAAGTCAGGCCTTAGGGAAAGAAGATGAGGCACTGCACATGTACCTGAAGCAATTATAATACTATGCACACCAGTACTAGCCGTTAATTTCAAATTTCGGGTCATATTATACTTACCAAAAGTTTAGGGACACAAGTGAAAAACTGTCCAAAGTTTAACTACCAATCTGCAAAATTTCAAAACTTCAGATTTTTTAGGTCTTTGAACAGTACCCCGAAAATTTGGTAATAAACTGGAACATTTATTTGGTCCTTATATAGTCATATGGAAGAAAATTAGGATGATTGAAAATTCGGTCTTGAATAGGAATGTAAATATATATGTTACGAATAGTTAAAAATAGATAAAAGCTTGTGAGTTGGCTCATGAGCTTATGAGCAACCAAGGATTGAGTATTTGAGGAGGCTTGAGCTCAACTGAAGCTAACAAAGAATCAAAAATGGTCCCAAGTTCGCAGCTTACCTCGAAACTACGACAAACCATTCTTTCAGAATGATGCACAACCAATAGTTTATATAAATATTGGTCAATTTCAAATCTTCATGTTTAAACTCAAAAATTCTAAATCCTAGCATCTGTGTGTGTGTGTTGTGTGTTTTATGCAGAAAAATGATTCTAAAATCACCAGGGCGTCTTTCCTTTTTTAAATATCTCAATTTGTTGTCTTCCACATTCTCATGACTTCTATAAATTCAGGAAATAAAAATACATTAGATTGTCCTGAACTCTTAAACATTATCCAATTCTAAGATAGTACAGAAATTTTTACCATCCAAAAAGTAGGACAGAATTGGAGGCACATAGGAAAATAAGGTCCATTGCAAGAATAATCTTCCATTGCTGAAACTTATACATTAAGTAGTGCACATTTATGAGTACTCGGTAGTTCTTGCAAACCAATGAACGGTCAAAGGTAGAAATTTTGTGATAGCAAATATTTTGGTAAACCGAGTTTGAGCCTCATTTTCAGCCATAAATATGTTTCCTTAAACTTCAAGATCCACTAGTTTTAGTAAGATAATTCTCATTCAGTGATTTTTGGGATAGCTTAAAAAGTTGCTAAAAAGTTTGATCAAAATCAACAATTAATTCTAAGCACACATTTCTTGGGACCAACAACTTTTATCAACATCTCAACCACACATTTCTATGATTCTATCCACTTTTATCAAAATACGCTAAAGCTTTTATCAAAAGCTTTGACAAACATCCCCTCAATGTTTTTACAGAGAAGTCCTAGACTTAGTAGATCTCTTGGAGCTCTCAACTCAACATGAATTCTTAACAGATAAATGAAGACTAGGTAATTAGGCATTGTTGTACATGTGGCTCATATAGAATAAAACACAGGTCCTAGATCAAATGGGCGATGCCGGCGCGGAGCGGAGCAGAGTGAGGATATCTTATATGGGCCCAAACTAGAGTTAGTATAAATAATATGTTGTAACCCTATTTTCACTACTGAATAAAGATATCTCCGCTTCGCTCTCCTGGACGTAGGCACACAGTCGAACCACGTAAATTCTTGTGTTGATTTTCTTTTTCATCTCTTTAATATTGCGCATAAAATCCAACAACTGGTCTTCTCCTAAGCTTTTTTGAGTTTTATGGTGCAATCCAACCTAAATTCTGATGCCTAAGAACTATTCCTATTCTCTAATATTTAGGAAGTTACCTATTCCTAATCTCTGATATTCAGGAAGTTACTTGGGGCCCAGACCTTCAAAGGTAGCCCAACATTCAGAAAGATCCTATTCTTTCCTCAAGAAACCTAATAACTGAACAGGTTAATATAACTTCACAGCTAACAAACTGCTCACGGGTTTATGTTTATAGTAGTAAAAAGCCCCTTATCAAGTTCCCTTTTCCCACCCCTTAGGTATGCTTGCCAACTTCAAGAAATCTTGATCCTTATCCCTTAAATAATTCCTAATTAATACCCACTTCTACCGGTTCTATAAACCAAAATCTAATCTGTGAGAGTTACAATTAGTCTGACTACAGTTGGAGCTGCATCTAATAGGCAAATTTTTGCCACTAGTCTATGCACAAATTTGTTATTGATGGAGAAAACGTGTTTCTCCAAATCGCAACTTACGAGAGGCTATTCTGGACATTTTGGCACTTAAGCTAGTGGATGTTACGTGGCAGCTTCTGATTCGTCCCTTTCTTGTTACTTGGATTTGTGTTTCTTTTGGCCTTGTATGGATTGTTCGATCACTTGAATGGTGGAGATCTACCAAGACTATTATCTCTTGGCTTCTAGTGTATTCAGTGGGAAGAAAGACTCCTCAATTTACTGACTTTTGGTCTCTCGTTTTTCTCTATCTTTCTTCTTGGCTTTAGAATCTGGAGCATATTACTCCTGTGTGATTCTTGTAAATTCATAGTGCTACAATAACTGATAGGCCAGTTTGTAGGTGATTTGTTGAAGTTTTGAGTTAGTGGCCATTCTTGAGGAAGGAGATTTTCTGTGTCCAGATTTGAGATCCGTTTGGATCGATGAATGATCTGGTTGTTTTCTTTGGTTCTATACACTTTACTCTCTCTGGGATGTAGAATTGCACTAGTGGATTGGACTGACCCTGAGCCACCCCAGATTAAGCCATTTGGGCCGAACTAGGTGAACATTTTTCTGTGTCCCTTTATTTTTCTTGCACTTTGCATTTGTGTTGTTTGTGTTGATCTCGGTTTTGGGTAAAAATACCCTACAGTTATATCTCAACAAAATTGTGCCCAGTTTCACAAGTGACCATTCTGATAAAATCTATTAATTAGTTGAGGTAAGAAAGTAATACCATCATTTCCTTCTTTGATTGGTAATGTCCAAACACAACAATATTCTCTTTACGGTTCTATATTCCATAGTGATAAAGCTATGTTGCTTATGGTTTAGTGATTTACAAATTTACATAGCATAAAGCTTCTTTCAAATGTACATTGTAAATCTAGTAAAACAGTAGACAAACTATAGATGATGCTTAATGACAGAAGCTTAAAATAATCGTCACAAATAATTCAAGAACTTATAATCAACCAGATTGGCCAAGTAACAAGCGTGTTAAATGTTCATATTTAACTAACCTGAGCCAGCGGCAGTAATAGCCTGTCTGTACTTCTTATCCTGAACATCACCAGCAGCAAATACGCCCTTGACGCTAGTATGAGTGGTTCCAGGCTTCGTTACCACATACCCATCAGAATCCACCGCCAGCTGCCCGTCCAAAAACTTGGTTGCCGGCTCATGTCCAATCGCAAAAAACAACCCAGAAACGTTCAAGTCAGTAACCTCCCCACCCACGACATTCTTTACCTTCAAACCCCCCAAAGATCTCTCCCCGTACGCCTCTGTCACCGTGGAATTCCACAAGACTTCAATCTTTGGGTTTGACAAAGCTCTGCTCTGCAAAATCTTCGAAGCCCTAAATTCATCTCTTCGGTGGATAATGTAAACCTTAGAGCCATATTTAGTTAAAAAGGTGGCTTCTTCCATGGCAGAGTCCCCGCCACCAATGACAGCAAGAGGTTTGTTACGGAAGATAGGAGCGGCACCGTCACTGACCGCGCAGGCTGAGATGCCACGGTTCCAGAACTCCTCAGAACCAGGGAAGTGGAGGCGTTTGGCGACTGCCCCGGTAGCAATTATGACAGAATCAGCAAGCACAGTCTTAGAGTCGCTAAAGATTTTAAAAGGAGAGGTCGAAAAGTCGACTTTAGAGACAGTTTCAGTGAAGATTTCGGTTCTGAACCGGACCGATTGAGCGCGGAACCGATCCATAAGCTCTATCCCGCCGATCCCATCAGAAAAACCCGGAAAATTTTCAACTTCAGACGTAGTAGTGAGCTGCCCACCGGGGGCGATATCATTTGCCATCCAGCCCTCAAAGAGAATGGGTTGGAGCTCCGCACGGGCCGCATAGATGGCAGCTGTATGGGCAGCTGGGCCACTGCCGACGATACAGAGGCGGGTTTTTAGAGTCTGTAGGTTTGCTTCCATGGTAGAGATTTTGGGAGCAAGGGCGGCGGCAGACGTGGTGGTAGTGGTGGCAAGAGTAGCGATGCCGATTAGGTAGCGGGCTTTTCTGAGTACGTTTAAGAGCTTTGGGAAACAACTGTAGGTCATTGTTTGGCTGTGAGTGTGGCGAAATTGGAATTGAATTGAGCGGGTAATTTGGGCGGGCGGTCTATTTTCACACCAATTCCTAATTGGCAAAACGAATAGTGGTCGATATTTTGCTCCCTACTTGTCATTACTTTACATTTTGATCTATTATTTTTTTATAATACTTATTTTTAACCACACATTTTTTATTAAAATAATATTACACGCAAATAAGGAAAAAAACCTTTCTTTTTTAAATTACACAATCCTTATCAATCGCTAATTCATAATACATTTCTTCAAAATGGGGCTCAAAATATGAACTATTAAACACCCGTTTGGCCCCCATTTTTCCAAATTAAAACTGGTGAAATATATATATATATATATATTTTAATGAGTGGTTGAAAAAAAAAAGAATTTTTTATTTACGTGTAATATTATTTTATGAAAAATTGTATGATTGAAAATAGAAAAGAGAAAAATGAAATTTAATTTGATGGGGGCCAAACAGGGCTTATGTTCGTATGAAATGATCAAATCATATTGTTTCTTCCTAAGAGTTTTGGCATTTGATTGTTAGACATGGTTGTGGGTTAAACGTGGAGATTTATTTGCATGAATGGATGGATTGTAGATTTCACTTTTGGAATTTATTTGATGATTTACAAGTTGTTTGGTGGAATCAAAGCAACTTGGTGATCAAGTTTTGAATCTCTTAAATTGGTAGATATGGTCTTCCACGGACAACTAAAGTGTAAAGAGTATGGTATGGAATTTAAGAATTTTCGTGTCTTACACATGTTAAAAATGTATTGTCAAAGCAATGTACCATAGTGTTATGAACGTTAAAAATGTTTTAAGTATTCATTCTGTTATCAACATTCAAGGTAGAAATTACACCCACACATTTTTTAACTTACCAATTCAAAATTCAAGTTTAAAAGTTTTTTAATTCAAAAATTACGTAATAATTCAAAATTTTAATATAATAACATAATTAAATTAAATTAATCTACATATCCACTCCACCTCACCACACCAAATTTCACACCCAAACCGTAATAATTTCTCTCCTGTCTCTCGTCGTTGTTCAATGGCGCTCTCAATGGTGTGAGCCTCACGTATAGCCACTACGCATGGAATTCATAGTGCCATTGTGCGCAGAGTCACACATAGTGACGATGAATTTTTGGACGTGATTTTTGGGTTCGTTACTCCCTAATTTTGCCCTTGTTTGAGCCACATTATTGGAATGAAAATGTATTTTTTGAATAGTATATTGATGGAAAATGTGTTGTAAAGAAATAAGAAAAAGTTTTGGACTTACGTATAATATTATTTTATTGAATAATGTGTGGTTGAAATGATATCAAATCACTGTTGAAAAATGTATTTTTTTAAAAAAAATATGTCTCAAACGAGGCCTCGATATGTGCGTAGTTAAAGTTTTTGTGTGATTTTTGTTAGTGGTTTGCAAGTCGTGATGGTGGTGTAGGTGGTAATGTGAGGAGATGGTCATGCAGGCTGTAGTGGTGCTCACAGTTGGGGTGAAGTGGTTGTAGTATTGGCAACGGTGACTATGATGGTGATGGTGATGGTGTTGGCAACGATGGTGAGATGATGGTGTGTGTAGATTGTAGTGGTTCTAGCAATGGTGGTGAAGTGGCGTGGCGTTTGATTGGGACTGGTGGATGGGATGAAGAGTATTTATAACTAATTATTTGGATAATTGTGACAAATAAGTTGGTTAATTTGTGATCAATAAAATAGATAATTTATTATCAATAAATAACAAATGATATTAAAAAAAAATGTGATTGTAACAAAATTTATAATCACAACTCGAAATTTATTGAATTCTGATCAATTAATTTGATAATTTGTGAATGTAAAATAAGTTATGATCTATAAATTTTGTGATTTATGATCGAAAAAAAATGGGTGACCTATTAATTTGATATTTGTGATCGATAAATAAGTTGTGACCTATAAAGATTTTTATTTGTAATCAAGAAATGATAGGTGAATGATTAATTTGATAATTTGTGATGAAAACTAAGTTGTGACATATAAAACTTGTGATTTGTATAACGTTTTGTAATTATGACTAGTATGTAACTATGAACATAAATTGTATAATACTGTGACCTTAATATATTTAACTAATAAAATATTTTTAATTAACTATTTAATTTATAAAATTCAATTATGACTAGAATTTTGAAATTTTAAACTAGATTTCTTAATTTTAAAATGGTATCTTTTAAACATCTTATATATGTAATGTTCCCATATTCAAATGAAATGGTATATTTTTAAATTATTATCTTTTTTCATGCTTATTTAACCCCTGTTTTGTGTAGCTAAAAAAAATTACTAAAATATAAATAAAAATCAATAATTAATTTTAACAACATATTTCATGAAAATCACAACATTTCAACTACATGTTCCATCAAATTTTTATCAAAATTTACTAAAATTTTAATTTTTATTCAAATCAATCAATGATTCAATATTCTAGACATTCCATTTTTATACAGTGCGAACCAGAGAGAGAAATCCCCATGGTTTTGGTGGCAATGGCATGGTCACTGTGGTAGTAATTAGGTGGTGGTGATACCAATTGGTGGCTACCGTTGTGGTGGGTGTATGATCGGAAGAAGGTTACAATCAGGGGTGGACCCAGAGACTTCGGACTGTGGGGTCAAAAATAAATTTTTTTTCGAATAACGAATTATTAACGAAAATAAATTCATAGGATTAATGGATTGGAGTGGATAATTAATTGGAATTTGGAATCCCAAACCCAAATAATCGTTTCAACAGCAGAAAATTAAAAAAAAATGGAAAAAAAAACTGTGGGGTCATTTGACCCCACATGACCCCATGTGGGTCCGCCCGTGGTTACAATTTCCCCTTTTTTCTCTCTTTACTTTTATCTTTTGTTATTTTAACTATTTTCTTTTGTTTTATGAAAAATTCATTGATATTTTCTTTGATATTTTAATTAATAATAATAATTTGGGATATGCTAGTTTATTACGTGACTAACGAAAAAATAGATTGGATCATTAAAAATTGAAGTGATATCTTTGAATAATCTAATAAGAATTTATTGGGAAAATTACGGTTTTCTAAAATAAATGATTTCTAAAATAAATGAGATTGTAGTATATGTCCTTACTTGGAGTAGTTAAAAATTAAATTTTTAGTGCATTTTGATAAAAGTTGATGACTTGTATTGTTGAATAGTTGATAAAACTTGTTGATCAATGTATTGTTAAAATTAATTATTGACATTAACTTATATTTTTATCAACTTTTTAGCTAAACCAAATAAGGAATTAAAGAGTTGAATGCATCATTTGTATCTATATGAGTCAAGTATTTCATTTGCCACTAAACTATTTACTTTGTCACGGCTTACTTATTCAACTTCACAAAGCTTTCCAATGGCCATTGAACTCAGGTCCGTTGCACTAAAATAGTCATCGGATGAATTTTGTCTATGATTATGTCTAAGTGGAAGCGGAATATTGACATGGCAGTTAAAATTACTACATGTTAAATCAATTGAACGCGTGGATATCAATTCCCCAAAGCAAATCTTACCCATATCAAAAGGACCCGGCTACTAGTACAGAAGAGGCCTACAAAACGATGTGGCAATAAAATGACCCGGACGATGGAAACCAGCCCAATACCATTCCAACTACAGCGAAAACCATTTTCCCCCAAATCATTGAAACCCTACACTCGACGATCCGTCGTCTCCCCCGACTTCATCCATCTTCTCCAACTACACTTAAGAACTCAACGCTCCCAATAAAGGAAGCTTGATCCAGTTTCCTTGTTTTGCCAATCATCAGTCGTTCGCCGGTATTATTTCGTTTGAGTCCGCGACCACTGTGTTTGCTGTCAAAATCAACCGCAAACTTTTGGTAAGTATGATGTTTGATTTACGCAGGGGTGTGAATGTTGTTGAGCATGATCACTCTGAGGCGTTTAGCTAAATTGAATTCAAATTTGATGTTTACCAGTAATGCTAGTCTCTGTTCCTTCATTTTCGACTTCGTTTCTTCATTATCGACTTCATTTTCTACATTTTGACTTGAACCATGAGGACTAGAAAAAAAATCAAAAAACAAACCTTCTGCTTCTAGAATTCGGTCTACCTTTCAAAATTCTTCCTAGTGCTCATTTTGCTCGAGAAATCATTAATATTTCATGTTTTAGCTCTTAATTACCACTTCGAAGCAGGAAACTGCTCAAAGCCAAGTATATCATTATTTATCTAAATTTGATGCACTGTACATGTAGAGGCCTTTGAAATGGAAATTTTGTTTTGGTTTGTTCATCGAACTCAGGTTGTGATGTACATTTGTAGTATGAAATTTGTGAGATTGAATTGATGCTCTGTTCATTTGTTCATTGGACTGAGGCTATGATGTTCATTGTTTTGTTTTTTGTTTTTTTTTTTGTTCATTCTCTCTTCGTGGTTGAATGACAGCTTGTAATGGGCAGGCGAAATCAAGGAGTATGTCATAGTTGTAGGCGTAGCGATCACTTCTTCGTAGATTGCCCAAACAAACGGCTATGTCCATCATGCAAACATTCATTTTTGAAGTGTTTTGAGGTGGAAAAGGATACGAAGAACAAAGGGAAATGGTTCAACTGTTGCAATGCCAACTGTGGGTATTGGGCGTGGGTTAAAGTAGGAGAAACAGGCGGCGAATCAAAGAATGTTTGTAGTACATCTACTACACCTTCGGTCAACAAATTAGATGAAGATATATCTGGGGTGTTCGAAACCATGTGTCACCTAAGCCATGAGAAAGATGTGGATATTTCCGTGAATGTGACAATACGTAAAGGAAAGACTGTTGCAGAGGGGAATAAGAAGTGAAAAGGGTGGGCCTACTTTTGTTGTTGTTGATGTGTTTGCCTAAAATTTTGCATGTTTGGAGTCTGTAATGGCAGGCCTAACACTTTGTTACTTAGTTTATGTGGTCAATGTAATTGGATGTCTGTTATTTGGTTATTTAGCTTAGTGGTGAATGTAATG